AGATTCCTGAAAAGTACCATATTCTCAGACTGCAAAAGTAATGAATGTAATTAAATACATAATACAAAGTATAAGTGCTTATTTAAAAATAAAAAACCTTTTTTCTGCAATGCAATTTCTGTTTTTTATACCAATTTCTTTTTTCCCCTTCAGACACAAGATGCATCCTCACAAGAAATTTAGCTGTCTATGAACCTTATCCCATATAAATGGCAAATATTATAAAAAATATCCTATAGGAGGATATAATGTAATAGGATAATTATCAAAGGACAATCTTATTTTCAATAATAAGCAGATTCAGTCAGTAATATGCAGAACTTTACGAATAATCAATTGTATAATACAGGGTTTAAGTAAATTACATGATTCCAATTCTTTGCATGTGAGTTAATTTTTGCCACAACACATCAGCAAAAATCCTAAAGAACAAAGCATTAATCTTATTTTGTATAATAATGTTTTCTCAGGACATACTAAAGGGAAATATCAAGAAATGGAAATTTGGAGATAGCACAGGAGTAGATCATTCAATAACGTACAAAACTAAATGATAACATTTAATTCCTTTCACCACAAAAGAATATTTGTAAAATACTTTGAAGATCTCTGAAAAGAGAATATTAATATGAAAAAAAAAAAAGAAAAATAAGCAAGTATCTGTCTGAAACATCCCTGAAAAAAAAAAGTAGCTAAAATAATAAGCCTCACAAACATCATTATAGACAGGAGTTATCAATTATTGGATATTTACTATTTGCTACGCACTAATACTAAGCATTTTACACACATCCCATTTCATATTATAAAAAAGGCACCATCATCCCTACTTTACATATGTGAAAATTATGATTCATATGGTTAAGTTACTTGCTCTGGGTCTCACAGATAGTAAATAAGAGTTGAGAACTGAATTCAGTTTTTTGCTCTTTTTTTTATTTATGGCAGCTGCGGGTATGGGTATTTGAACCCTTGACCCTGGGTGTTATAATACCATGCTCTAACCAGCTGAGCTAACCGGCTAGCTCCTGTGAATTCAGTTTTGTGTGAATCCAAAAGCAGTGCTCTTGTCCATTATACCAGTGCTTCCCAGCTTTTTGTCACATCATGGCATACACTGAAAATGATAATATTTGTAGGGCTCATTGGGATAAGCTGGAGGGGTTGGTGAAAAAAAATTTTCTTTATATTATGAAATTATGACATAAAAAAGTACAAAGTTATTACAGATTATATTAAATACTGAATTGGCATAAACCTTCCAAATAAATTTTTTTCTAATTACCAATTTCAGGAAGTTTACAGAGAAATCATACCAAAAATTTCAAATATTATTTCAGCTGTTATAAAAATTTTTTTATTGAAACAATTGACTATACATATTTGTGGAGTACAGAATTGACTATCAGTATTTGTGCACAATATGTGGTGATCAAATCATAGTCGGGATATTTGTCATTACAAAATGTACTCATCCTTTATGTCCATTAACTGTTATAAAATTTTGAAGTTACAAAAACGATTTAAAATTTCGATACCATTAAAAAATTTGCAAACAGCATACCTGTACACCATCCTATGCACTTCACACTGGTTGTGAAGCTCTGCATAATATAATTTTGTCTTTCAATAAACTATTGTGATTAAACACTAATTTGGCATATCAACATCATCCCAATAACATCTAAAGGCAACTCAAACCAAAAGTAATCAAAGGAAGAATTACAATACTAATACTAGTCTTTCTTAACTAATTCAGCCCACACCACTTCCTAATTTGAATTTCTATAGTACCTATAATCTGTAACATTCGCTTTGATTTAATCATAACAATAATAGCTAAAATTCATTGAGCTAGTACTATGTGCCAGGCTATATTCTGCTTTATATCATTATCATATTTAATCCTCAGAGCAATCTTATGAAGTATTTTCTCTATTTCAAAGATAAGAAAACTGAGGCAGAGAGAAAGGAAGTAGTAAGGTTACAGCTGGTAGATGGGAATTAGGATTTGAGGCATTCTGACTTAAGAGCCTACGCTGTTAATCACTATGCTAAACTGCATCCCTATAAGGAAGAAAATACGTTATGTGCCAGGAGAGACAAGAGTAAGTACGGAGATCTCAACTTAAACTAAGTTCAATCGGGGCCGGCCCGTGGCTCACTCGGGAAAGTGCGGTGCTGATAACACCAAGGCCCCGGGTTCGGATCCCACATAGGGATGGCCGGTTCGCTCGCTGGCTGAGCGCGGTGCTGACACCACCAAGTCAAGGGTTAAGATCCCCTTACCGGTCATCTTTAAAAAAAATAATAATAAAATAAATAAATAAATAAACTAAGTTCAATAGTTTCACAGTAATAAAATAAAAATGACTTACATGTACATCAAAGGAAATATTCTACAGCAAAAAGAAAATTATTTATATACTGCACTGGGTGCATTTTGTTTATAGAAATAGCACAGAATATAACTTTAATTTCATATGTGCTATTATGATACGTGTGAAGCAAGAGTATCTCTCTCTGCAACCCACTTGATTTTGTTGATTTTACTTGCTCAAGAACACAAAAACACTTACTTAAAAAACAATGAAGTTGGTAAAAATTAAAAGGAAAGTACATTTTAGTACTCTGATTTTTGCTTACTGCTTTTCCAGCTCCCTAAGTCGTCATGTGCTTAATTTTGTTTTGAATTAAATGCACTATTTATAAAGTCCTGAATAAAGATTTTTCTAGACATTTGAACTAGTTCTGCTTGCCGAAATTCTGCCTGCCAAATTCTGTTATTTGGAGGAAAGGCTCACAGCTTACAACTGTATTACAATAGGATAATGTCCTAAGGGGATCTCTGATGGTCAATGTAAATCAAATCACTCACAGAAATTGAGACTACACCTTTAATTTCATAACCAATCAATCAGTACAGAAAATGCTAATGTCTTGAGTGTTGAGGTTTATATCAAACTTCTAAAAGGACCAAGACCAATGTCCAACATTAGCTGGCTTATGCTGGTTAACAGTAAATATTTAAGGATGACCTACTATGTACCAGGGACCATGCTCATCCAGAAAAGATACCTTTTATATCCTTGCAGACACTGGCAATATAGAACTACAATTTGAATTCATGTCTTCTGGAAGTTCAGGTATTCAATCTGGAGGCTCAAGCTCCAATGCATATCTTTTCCCCTATATCCAAAAAAAAGCTGTTACCAGAGTTTCTGCAATCTACAAACAACTAAGTATGTTAACGCATGTAGAAACAACTAAGTATGTTAACAATCAGCAAATCCTGGAGTACAAAATAAGTCTTGGGTATGATGGTACAGTCTGTCCTTTGGAGCTTTATACCATGAAAATTTGGCACTTTCCGTAATGTGAATCCTTTTTCTCAAAAGTAAATTGTTTTAAAACGTAAAGTTCTATTGCTTACAGAAACTATTCCTCGTACTTACTCTTCTCTAACGGATCGCTAGAAAACACTAATAATGAAGAAACGTGGCTTGACTTACCGGTAAGCTAATGCCAGGGTACTTTACATGATTTATTGAGCCTCTCAAAATTTTTAAAACTAAATGATGCTGAGTAAAATACATCTGACTTGTACACAAAAGCCACTTAAAACGAGTAACAGGTAACATGAACAGTAATTTCCGAAGCCAATATTTTTGCTTTGAAGAGACCAAAAAAGATAAAAACCAGGTCACCAGAAATCTGTCTTTACTGTAAATATATCAATTCCATAATTAATCCTAAAATAATTCCATTCCCACTGCAATCACCCCTAGCAACTCAACTATTCAGCAATTTCCAATGTGTAATCCATTGTCCACTACAGCTCCTGCCACAAACCTCAAACAAGTCATTCTTTAAATTTCCTCAGCTTATACCCCCCCCCCATCCTATTAAAAAACAGGGGAATGGGCTGGTTGGTTAGCTCAGTTGGTTAGAGAGCAGGGTTAAAACATCGATCTTGGTTCGGATCCCCGCACTGGCCAGCCGCCAAACAAAATAATAAAATGATAAAAATAGAAACAGGGAAAGGAGTTATAAAGGCTTAAGAGAATAAAAATGATAGAAAAAGGTGGAAAAGTATAAACGGCCTCTGCACCCAAACTCCTTACCTCTATACCTGAGAACTTGCCATTTAATCTCAACCATGTACTTTCACGTTCCCAGATAATCCAGGGTTCCTTCACCTTACTCACATAACAGTTCAAAACGCGCACTCTCCAACAAATAAGAGGATTCTTATGTGACCACTCTGTCCCCGCCTATCTATTTATATTAATCATTCACGTCTCCCAGCTTTATCCTGTCACAAAGTATCACCACGCTCCAAACTCACAAACCATTATACAAACTCAACATATATTCTATCCCGTCCTCCTTGTTACCAACAAGCCCCAACCCAATGCAAAATCTTCCTTAATAACTGCTCTTCCTTTATGAGTTTTCCCCATATTCCTAACACAGTCTCAATGTCCCACCGCCCCATACTCCCAAGCTCTCTTCGCTAAACGCAGTTCCATACCGGAGTCACACCCTCTCCGGCCTAATTCCTACAACCCCCAAACCCCACCCCCTAATCACGCTCTCCCGGGCCTCAGCCACCAACCCCAACACCCCGCCCCATGTCCGGCACGCCCTCCAGATCCCTTTGGGGTCCTTTCCCCTGGCCAGGCCAGACCCCGCTCAGGCCTCCCCAAGTGTCTGCGCTCTCCCGACCACCACTCCAGCCCCGCCCCCAGCCCCTCACCGAGAAGCAGCAGCTTCACTTCTTTGGCCGCTTTCTCCCCGTCCTCCCGCAAGTTGCGATCGATCATCTTGCTCCGCTCCACCGCCGCCTTGTCTTCGGCGCTCAACGTGCAGCCCATGGCGGCGGCGGGAGAGGGGACCGGGCCCGGGCTCACTCACACACCGCGGCAAGTGCGACTCAGCTGGCAGAGAGAGCGTCTACTGCTGGGCGGCGGCCCTCTTCATCAGCTCCCCTAGCGCCCAGAGGAACCGGATATCCGACGTTTACGACACTTCCGGCGACGCCCCGCGGCCGTTACCGCTTGAACCACTCTGGCTCTAGGAGAAGAGGTGAGACCGAAAGCGGAAGTCCCAGGGAACGGGCGGCGGGGCTGGGCGGAGGTTCTGCAGAAGTGCGACGTTCTCTAAAACTTGCTGTTCGCCACTCAACTTTAGTTCTCTTTTACCTTTTCGGCTATCTGATTTGGATAAATATAGGAAAACCGGGGCCTCCAGCTCATGGTGCTCTCCCGAAGTCACACCACGAGTTAGGAGGGGAGGCCGGATTCCGAATAAGAGCCCACAGCCCGTACGGGAATTTCTGCTGAGAATTTCTCGCTAGCCAGAAAACCCCCTTTGATCTCTGGTTGTGGGATCCGGGACCCTTGCCCAAGTGTGCGACACTTTCTCTGCCGGCTTGTCGCGGTCCGATCTATGAGATGTGAGCAAACTGCCCAGCTTGGCCCCTGCAGCACCTCACGTCTGAGATCTGTAACACCGGCCAAGCCTAGGACTTTAGTCCATGGCCTCCTACTCTCAAAGTTTGTCCTGGTCCTCGTGCTATTATGTACGAATTTCTGCGGGCTTGAAATTTGCCTATCTCCTAAGCTGGCAAAGGGCCACTTGAAATCGCTCGCAGATATTCTATAATCTGAAAGGTAAGCGTGCAGTTCCTCGGTAAAATTTCCATGCTGCCCTTTTGTCCAATATAAGCCAGATCGCTCTATGGTAGGGCCTTCGGACTTCTACCAAGCCAACCCCAGCTCCACACCCCGAAACACACAAGAGCATCCTGTGAATCTCCTACCAAACTTTCCTGTTGTGGTACCGCACAAAAAGGGAAGTTTAGTAAAATTTGCGTCTCAGTTTTTGTATCACTTGAAAATTAACAAATTCCCTGTGAAAGCCCCAGACTGATACCCTCTTTTGCTGATAATCCTGGGTACTACCTTGAAGGTGGTCCTAAATTAGCTGTACTGCCAAATAGCCCCACAATTACTCTCACTATACATTCTAGGGAGGAGAACATTTTTGCAGCGCCTAAAACCTTTTCCTGTGATTAAAAATTACATTATTTCCCTAATAGAATCTAAACCTTAGAATATAAGGCCCCAACAGAAAAGTCTATATACTGATGATTCATTAATTAGAGCCACTTTAAACGGGTTCATCCACCATAAACTTTATCAGTGCCAATTCTTCAAAGTTTGAAAAATCTCCCACTCATTCCCAAATAACTGTTAGAATGAAAGGGACTACTTTTCCGTTATCAATATTTATGGGGAAAAAGGGCAAGAGGAAAGGGAAGAAAAACCAATATTTATTGAGTACCTGTTTGCCAGGTATGGCTAGGTGCTTCCACATCCCATCTCTTTTAATCCTCACAACAACCCTGTGAGGTAGGTAATAATGATCCCCATTTTTACAGATGAGGAAATAGGCTCAGAAAAATAAAGCAGCTTTCCCAAGTTCACACAATGAGTTAAGTAGATCTGTCTGATTCCAAATTCATCCCTTTTCTACCATGCCCCGTAGAGGATATTGCCTAGGGACATCTAACAACAGAAACTCTGCGGTTTTCATCTAGGATTGAGAGTCACCCCAGCACCACCAGGATGCAGGCAAAAGTAGTTGAAAGTATAGTTGCCTCAGAATGTTGAGCCTTAAGAGACTCGAGTGGTGAGGTTTTGTCCAAGAACAGCTTTCAGAGCTAAGGATTACATATTGAACTTTATCAAGCCATCCTGGTTACTAGAAAACTCCTGGAAGGTGGTCATAGCAGTAATTGCTGGGAAAGTTCTCAGCATAATAAAACAGAAATTTTAATTTCCCTTATAATTCACCCCTACAGGGAAAAATAAATAGCAAAATAATCCATGTGTGTCAAACTCTGTAATAAACGCCAGGGAGATCACAGTGTCAGGAAATTTCAGCCTGAATTAGAGATATCCTTGCACTTAAAACTTTCTTCTTTGATGTACGTGAAGGAAAAGTCAGAGGTCAAAGGCCAAGGAAAAGGCAAAATAAATTAACAAAATGGCTGCCAGGCAATGTTTGATGCCCTCCCTTTTCTCCCCCTTCCCCCACATACACACGGCTTTCCTATTTCCACTGGACTCACACTGCCACCTGCTGGCAGTGCTGTGGTTCTACTAGCTGATTCCTGATGTTTTTCCCCCATCTAGGAATGAGATTCTTCAATATGAATTTATTTTAAAAGGAAGGAGAGAGGTGAGCATGGTTTTTCAATCACAAAGGACTCTCCTTGTATTACATATTATCCTTTTAAAAAACTTCCTCCATGTAATAGGCACTAGACTAGAATAATAATTTAGTGGTAGGAAGACAGAAACCTGGAAATTTTCCTAGATCAAGAGAGGAAAAGCTCTGTTTTCTCAGTTTCATTTAATAATTTTTTTTCTTCCCTAGAGAGTTTCATTTACAACCCTACATTTTCCACAATCTGCAGGAAACTTCCATGTAGGTATCTTGCTGGAATGGACTGAACTCTGGGAAGTTAGAACCATGGATATATTTTCCAATATATTTCTCAAACACATGTTATAGTACTTTATCAGATCTAAATGCTCTGTTAAAAATACAAGGATCTGATGAAATTATACTATGAACTGCTCGAAGACAGTAACTGCACATCCTCAGTGTGGGTCTCAGGGAATAGTGGGTGTTTAACTATTATGCACTGAATTGAACTGAAGGAGTCAATGTTGATATCAGTATGACTTTTTATCATGAAATTATTTATTGGCTGTTCAAAGGGGAAACTATCCCACTCCCATCAGTCCATTTTCCCCCTTTGATGCTCAGTGAGCCAGGAATTTGTTCAAATACAGACCACACCACCCTTTGGACCTTCCTTATTCTTTAGTGTTACCTGATTCAACTGAGGGAAGTGGGATGAACAGGTGATCCCAGATGGATGTCCTGTCCAGTTTGCAATTATTCCCTCTCTGTTGAAAATACCACCCAACACTGTTCCTACAGTCTCAATCAGTGAACAGCTGAGCCCAGCTCCTGTGCCCTCTTTCCAACCCAGGGCTGCAGTTAGGAGAGAGATTTAAGTCTTTGTCACTGAAGCTAATTTTGAGAGCGATGAATGGAAGTAGAGAGGCATTTAATGGACCATGGAAACCCCACCCTTCCCATTCCCAACCTTAGTCTCTTGTACCCGATTGTCCAGGAAGCTGGAGGTGGGTCACTGCCATGAGGAGAGAGATCAGGGAAGCCAGTCCTGGAAAGAAAAGATTTGCAGTATTATTGATTAGGATGATTACCTGGCCTCTGTATCCATCTGCCTTAGCAATTCAAATGCTAACCACCACCCTCAACCATCCGACCTGCTAATCATTCTAGTTCTTCATTCTGAAAGACGGAGAAAAAGCCATCCTGTCTTATTCATGTCTCTGCTGAGATCAAGCCTCATATTTGATCTCCTGTGTGCAGGAGGGAGACAGAAAAATAGAACAGAGGGCTTTTCCTGTAGAGTGGGAGGGAGAGAGCTGCAGTCAGCTTTCCTGTCTTCTACTCCATGTACCCTAATTGCTATTTCCCCTTGCCTCTGGCCAAACTCAGGAAAAGAATAACAAACCATGCTGGTCCTCTCATTTTTAGGAAATCTCAGGTATAAAACTAGAAAAAAAGATCTATTGACATAAATGGAAACACTTGGATGTCATGTAGTTCTTTTTAAATCTAGCAAGGAATGAGAAGACACAGGTCATTTTCTTACCTTGCTTAGGTGCAATTACTGCCCTGGACAATTACACTGAAAAATAAAATATCCTAAATGGCCCCCAGAATAATTCCAAACTTGGCCTGTTGCCCTGTATCCTCCAACTCCTACCCTTCTTGCTGAGGCATGGAAAGTTCACTGGTTGAGAGGCTTCACCTCACCTTTGTGACCCTTTCTTCTCGTCACCGCCTCACCATACCCAGGATCCCTCCCCCAGTAGTCAAAGACACAGCCAAATCCAAGGCTTTTGCCACACATCCATCCTGTTGGCTCTGTTCCTGACACAGGAACCATTATGCAAAAGCTGTGCATGGAGACCCCAATCCCAGCCCCAGCCAGCTGGGAAAAGGTGATCCCACAAGGTGGTCCTTGCGATCATAACCAGCCCCCAGTCCCATCTCCCTCCAAGTGTCCAGTGGCCCATCATGATTCCAGCCGGGGTGAGGGGGCAGGACGGAGGTAGCTGTCTGACATGATGATGTCACTGGTGAGTTGCTGCTCCAGGAACTCAGAGGTCTCCTCAGCTATCTGGCCTGGGATTCGAAAGTCAACAGCAGGTGGCTCCTGCTTGGGGCTGGGTAGCGGTCGGGAAACCCAGGACTCGGTGGGACAGCCAGTCCCCTGAAGGAACTGCAGGAAATTCTCCTCAATGGATCCCTCCCGGCTAGGCAGCCTTAGCTCTTCCTCTGGAGCTGGCTTGAAGAAGCAGACAAACTGCTTGCTGAGCTCCCCCCGGATCTGCCGGTTGAGACATCCATAGAAGAAAGGGTTGGAAGTGAAGCAAAAGTAGCCAATCCAGGTCACCACACTCTCCACCTGCCCAGTCGAAATGGGCTGAGCACTCAGGGCAACGTAGAGGTGGAAAGAGAAATAGGGCAACCAACAGAGCAAGAACTGTCCCCCCACAGCCAGGAGGACCACTGCCGCCTTCCCTCCTCCAAACGTCCGGTGTGGGGTGGTCTGGGGGGCCCCTGAGCTGGTGACCATAGTGGAGCGGCTGCTGAGAGACTCGGAGCGTTGCCGGGGTGTCTCCATCCATGTGGGCAGTGGCCCATGCTGCATGGCAGCCACACGAGCCACTCGGAACATGCTGCAGTAGACCACAAGGATGAGGAGCAGGGGCAACAAGAAGTAAAGGACAGCAAAGACAACCACAAAAAGCTGGCAGTAGGCACTGTGGCTCCATTGGAGTGAACAGCCTGGGGGGACCCTGGGAGCTCCTTCCTCCCAGGAGACCCTCCCCAACACTGGCACAGATGCCATGGCCAAGGCTTTCACCCACACACCCACCAGCACAGAGGCCACCAGCCCCAGCGTCATGCGCACCTCATAGCGCATGGGGTGGACCACGTAATAATAGCGCTCCACGTTGATTGCCGACACAGAGAGGATGGCCAGGCTGACAAAGCATACACTCAGGAACAAGTAGAGGCGACAGGCCACCTCCCCAAAGAGGGCATGGTCAAAGAGGGCGGAGCTGGAGAGCATGGCCAGGGGCATGAGGGTCAGGGCGGCCATCAGGTCCACCAGGCAGAGGTGGAAGACAAAGACAAATTTTCGGAGGGCGGGTGTCTTGGCAATAACAGCCATCACAGCAGCATTGCCAGCCACAGCAGTCAAGTCCAGCAGGAGCATGAAGAAGAGAGCCACAGATTCTGAAGCTATGTCCCGCAGCCCCACCTCTGGGACTCCGCTGGCAGTAGAGGGACCTGGGGTTTGAGGGACCCTCCCTAAAGTAGAAGAGTTTCCTGATGACTGGGGAATGGGTGAGGACTCCATGGGGCCGAAAGAGGACACCCAGGGCACCTCCTGTCACAGGCCCATCCCCCATCCTAGTCCAGATACCCTGGGATGGCAAGCCCAGGCACAGGCTTCCCAGTTTTGTTGGGGGCACCTCCTGCTGGAGCCTCTCGGTCAGGCTCTTATCACCAGCCTTAGGGCTTGTTTGTGTACAGAGTGCTAGGCCAGGCAGCTGAGGGCTCAGGCTTATATCCCCTTTCTGGCAAAAGGTAGCTCCAGGGTCTGCCTTGGTGACTGCAAAAAAGCAGGAGACGTGAGAGAGGTGGGAGCCTTGCCCACTCAACACTCCACCTTTTGAGTGGCCTCCAGCTCCTCCTTTTCCACTTCCTTTCCTCTGTTCTCCATACCCTTTTCCCCTTTCCGGGATTGTTATCCAGGGATTCTAATGCTGTCTCCCTTTCCCAGGGTTTTGCTGAGCCCTGGGATAGTGCACAAGTTTTATGATTGCTTATGTAAATTTCCTGATTTCTTGACTCAGAATGGCAGGAGCTGGTGGGGAGTAGAAGGAGCACAAGATTTGACTTCCAGTCCCAGGTCTGGGCATTACTAACTCTGTGACTCTTCTGAACTTCAGTTTCCTCATAAAGGCATCTGTAAAATGAAGGGAATAATACCTACTTCACAACTGTGTTTGGAGGATCCTGTGTGATCTATTAATAACAATACGAATAAGCAGTAACAATTATATGGTGCTTTCCACCTGCCAGGCCCTGTTCTGGGCACTATACATATATTAACTCATTTTAATCCTCACACAACCCTATGAGATAGATATTGTTCTTATCCCCATTCGGCCAGGGATGAAACTGAAGCCTAGAGAGGTTAAGTAACTTACCCAAGGTCACACAGATAGTAAGTGGCAAGGTCTGGGTACCTAACCAGGCAGTCTGGCCACAGGGCCAGCACTTTTGCCCATCATGCCATGCTGTGCATGAAGGTGCCCTCCATGTTGGCTGGAATGTAATAGGCATCCAGTAAATAGTTGTTGAATTTGAACTGTCTCTAAAAATGTCTCTCTCTGCTCTAGGGCTATCACCTGAAAAGGGGGCTGAACTTTAGTCCCTGCTGACATCACCACTCCCAAGACAAAGAGCTGCCACTTTGGGAATATTGAGAAGAAACAGCGAAAACAAAATGTCCCAGCTGGAAGGAAACTGGGAGGCCAGCTCATCCAGCCTCACTGCTCCCAAAGCGAAAGGGCAGAAGCCACTTTAAAGCTGCCCTTCCTTTCCCATTCATTAACTTCTCAAGGCCACTGTGCCCCTACCCGTGGAAGAGGAGCTGCTCCTATCCTCCCACTCCCCAGCTCCCCAGATCTCTGGTCACTGCAGCTGACTCTCAGAGGATCCCTGGCCCAAAGCCCTCTTGATTCTGGACTGTTACCACAGTCACAGAACAAGTGGGAAGCAGGCACCTGTGTCAGAGGGTGAGTAGGTGTGAGAGTGGGTAGAAGACTGATCATGGAAGTTTGTGAGCATAAAACAGAAGAAAACTGAAGAAGTTGGGAGAGGAGGAAGTCTGTGGTTTCAGCATCTCTCATTTCTCCTGATCAAATAGAAGATCAAATCTGTGCCTCATTATCCATGTTGCGTTTGTATTTATTTGAAATAGGTTGCCCAATGTAATTAAAAATTTTTTTTCGGGCCGGCCTGTGGCTCACTCAGGAGAGTGCAGTGCTGATAACACCAAGGCCACGGGTTCGGATCCCATATAGGGATGGCCGGTTCGCTCACTGGGTGAGCGTGGTGCTGACAACACCAAGTCAAGGGTTAAGATCCCCTTACCGGTCATCTTTAAAAAAAAAAAAAAAATACATAATATGAAATCTACCCACTTAAAAATTTAAGTGTCCAGTATTGTTGACTATGTGCATGTTGTACAGAAGATCTCTAGAAATTTTTTATCTTGCTTAACTGAAGCTCTATGCTCATTAAACAGCAGCTCCCCATTTCCGTTTCCCTCCAGTCCCTGACAATCATCATTCTACTTTCTGCTTCTATGAGTTGGACTGCTTTTAAATACTTCATATAAGTGGGAATACGCAGTATTTGTCTTTCTGTGATTGGCTTATTTCACTTAGCATGATGTCCTCATTTACGCATAGTATTCTTGCAGTCCAGATTCCCTCAGTATAATGTGCTGAGTTATGCAAATTAAAAGCCAACTGCAGACATGCCAAGTCAGATGGCCTTTCTGTAGACAACTTCCTAGTTCCCTGGGCCACAGTTTGCTCATCTGTGAAATGGGAGAGTTGGACTGAATGACCTCCAAGATTCCTACACGTGGTAACATTTGATTACTCTGTGAGTTCCTGGGCTGTGGAGGGCCTGGTAGTCACTCAGTTGAAAAACCCATCATTTCTATGACTGCAGTAAAGAAGACCACATGGCTGGACAGGTCCTACTCTCCTCCACAGTTATAGTCTTAAAATTACTGTTGGTTTTTGGTGTTACCACAAACCTTACATTAATCCAAATTCTAACACGCCATGCATGCAGTAGGTGCTCAATACAGTTTTGTGAATCGAATCAAACTCAGACTGATCAGTAGAATCTCTGCCCCTCTAGTACAAACTCCAAGAATATTCAGTCACTCAGCTGTGTGCCAGCCAGGGGAGTCTCTTCTGGAAAGGGTAATCCCACTTGCTGTACTCGAGGCCACCCTAATTTTGGACAACTGCCTAGAGATGTGTCTCTCTCCAGGGAGAGCAGAAAGCTCATTTCACAGTTATGATAGCCACATAGACTCAAGGTCTGCAGGGAAGATGCATATAGGCACCAAAGTGGAGACATCAGCTTCTCATTAGACAGTCTACTAGGGAAAATGCCTGAAAGAAATACTAGGCAAAGCATTGTTGCCCCTTATCCAAGTGCCGTGATTTACCCATCCCTTCTACCTGTGAGTAGGGCCCAGAAGATGTGCTCTGAGTCCCTGGTAACTAAAGGAGGAAAGGCCCAGCATGTCTGGGGAAACATCAAGAGTCTGATCTTGGAGGGCCCACCCAGAGTCTTAGACTGAGTGAAACAGACATGTCCCATGTGGAGATGGAGGGGTGCCGTGCAGCCATGATGGAGCCCCAGGCAAGTGGGCATTGGACATTTCTCTTTTTCACAGCCCCATCAGTCTTGCTAGTATCTCCACAATGACTCCTAAATTCCAGGATTCCAATTTACTTCCTAATAGACCAATATACGTGGCTACTCAGCACTCTCTCACCAATGGACTGGGGCTATGGAGGGGAGCGCTGTGGGGTAACAATTTTATAGGGGAAACCCAGGGAGCCTCACCCACCCACTCCAGCTCATATCATCATGCTTTCTACCTGCCCCCTCTCCAATGCTCTTGTCCTCCCATTGCTTCCTTCCAACAACACCCCCCTCACCTCTGGGACCTCTCAGGACCTGGAAGCCATTGCCACTGTAGGGACTGAGGTCTGGGTATCTAGCAGGGGCATGGTCAAGTTACAAACATGTTTATTTCAGGATGCAAGATGTACATAGTGCCGAGCCCAAGGCCACAGAGAGGTGTCGTTGGGATTCACATGCACCTGTTTCCCAGATACAGAGCTCCCATCCCAGGGACCCGAGCCCAGCCTTCCTTCAGACAAGAGCATGCCCCTCCTAAGCCAGGGGAGATTTCTGGGTAGCTACAACACCTCTTCCCAGCAGAGTTGCCCATGCCCAGGACACAGTTGCCCATCAGCCTGGTTGCCAAAGAACCCATTCCTAGGATATGGGGGACCCATCTCTATGACATGGAGCAAGACAGATGGAAAAGGCCGTCTAAAGGATGTGGGTACTCCTGCCAGCAGGAATTGATTAACCCCCCATCTCTAGGCTTTAGAGATGCCCACATCCCAGTACCACCTTTGGGATACCTGGGAACCCATCCTTTGACAAAACTACCCACTGTAAGGTAGGATGGTCTGGACCTTGGAATGCTACTTTTCTGTCAGGTACCTCAGCACTCATCACTAGGCCCTGGGTCTGGCCCCCGTTCCTGGCCTAGTCGGCAACTCCTACCTTTGCTGAGCAGCTCCCGGCTCCCATGTGATAGCTCCTCTCAGCTGATGCTTCTCCAAGGCTGCTGAAGCCCAAACCACTGCAGTGAGCAGTGAGAGGCAGCCGGCAGAGAAGGATGCTCTGAGAGCTTCTGGGTCCTAATGGCCTCCTGCTACCCACCCAGCCCCTCGAAGTCACTTCTGGAGCAAAAGCTGGGCACCAGTACCCCAGGCAAGTTGCCCAGGAGTGAGCCCAGCTCCTCTCACTTCTCTTAGGTTGCTGGACTGCATCTCAAAAGCTTCATGGGGGCAGGAGATGAGATACAGGAGAGACCCTCCTTACCAGACTTATGAAGTAAGAAGAGCACTGGGAGTCAGAAAATCCAGGTTCAAGGCCTGGCTTTGGCACTTACTATCTGAGTGACCTTGGGCAAGTCACTTCCTATTGTTGGCCTTCATCATCTGTTCAAAGGGAATGTAGGATAGATGATCCCTGAGGTTCCTGATCGTGCTGCTATTGTCTGGTTCTGTGTGACATCAGGCTCTCACCTAACATCAGGCCTGCCTGTGTATAGCAGGCAGGTCAGTACAGACACAGGACCCCAAGGTTAGGCTGGGGAAGGGCTGAGGCTCCTGGGAATGATCCAAGGTTTGGTTCCTTTGGAAGCTGCTGAATGTGTATAACAGACAGGTTTAGAAGTGGCAATCAGGTTTGAAGGGGAGCCAAAGGCCTTGTCTTAACCCTGCACTTGCTCCCCAAACACACATTGTTCTCTTAGACTGTCTGTTTATTTGTAGTGGGGCTGTGAGGGCTGATGGAGGTGTGGGTATGTAACATCCCCCTGAGCCACCCTGTGAACCACCACAACACTGCTCCCTGAAGCCAGAGTGGGAACCAGCTACTCAGGAAGTCTCTGATTGGTCTGGATTTGTAGAACTGGACAGAGGGCCGGCCCGGTGGCGCACTCAGTAGAGTGCGGTGCTTGGGAGTGCGGCGGCGCTCCCGCCGAGGGTTCGGATCCCATATAGAGACCGGTCCACTCACTGGTTGAGCACGGTGCGGGCGCAACACCGAAGGTTGCGATCCCGTTACCGGTCACAAAAAAAGACAAAAAGGAAAAAAAAAAAAAAAGAACTGGACAGAGCTGGGGAGCATTATCGGTGGAGCATCACCCAGTCACGTGATGGGCCTTTGATGGTGAGATGAATGGGTATGGTCTCCCACAGCTATGAAGAAAACGGTCAGTTCCCCCAGGTACGTAACTGATACCTGTATCAGAATCCCCCTCCCGGATGTATGTGCAACGTGGTGGGCCCTGGATCTCTAATGTGATTTGGGGACCACACCCAGTTTCTCCACCTTGGTTTCCTCAGCCCCTCCATTGTGTTCAGCTTTAAAAGGAGGGATTGGCAGGGTGGGTGGGGGATGTGATGTCAGTAGCTACGCCAAACCCTGATTGAGATAGTTTAATGAGATACAGCATAAGAAGTGCCACCCCAGAGTGGGCCCTCAAGAACTAGCAGCATTGCTATTTTTATTGTTATCATCAGCTGCCCCCAGGCTAGGATAGGCGGTCTCCTCCTCCCTCCCCCACCAGAGAAGACGGCTTCTAGCAGCTGGGAGGATGCTCTAGGATTGATTGAGTTAATTTAATGAGATACAGCATAAGAAGTGCCACCCCAGAGTGGGCCCTCAAGAACTAGCAGCATTGCTATTTTTATTGTTATCATCAGCTGCCCCCAGGCTAGGATAGGCGGTCTCCTCCTCCCTCCCCCACCAGAGAAGACGGCTTCTAGCAGCTGGGAGGATGCTCTAGGATCCACTGCCTCCCTGGTACCACCTTCCCCGATAGTTCTCTGGGAGGGGCCTCAGGACCTGGAGACTGCCAACTGGCCACCAGACCAGCTGTCTGGCCAGGCCATGGTCGGTAACTGTATTATCTTCCCCAAGCCTGAGAAGCAGTTTATGTTTGTATTGCAGGCTCGGCTCCCTATCCCTGTTGAATAAGCTGGAGAGTAACGACTTTTGCCCATTCTATAGATAGAAAAACTAAAGTACAGCCAGCCAACTCACAGGCCAAGGCCTTACCAAAAACCAGTAGAGTAGGGACAAACTAGAACCAAGGTTTTCTGACCCCAATCTAGCCCTCTTTCTATAATCCTGCTCCAACGAACCTGAGTCTGCTCTGGTTCTCTCTGAAACCTTAGAAGGGGGCCTTAACAATCAGAGCTAGGGCCCTGCAGGGTGGGGGCCAAGTGGGGACAGGCATGACCTAATTGCAGAGAATCTGGTGGTTGTCAAAATGATCTTGCCGACACGAAAGCACAGGGTTTGATAAAAATCACTTTTCTGTTTATAGGGCTTTAGTTTGATATTTCCATTCGATTTCCCTGTACTCAAGTAGATCTGGTTTTGTTGTCTTTTTTAGGCTGTTTTCTGGAAGGAAGTGACCACTTCTATGGAAGTGGTATTAGGGCTTCGGCCCAGAGTCTCATGTCAGGGCCAAGTGAGAAGGAGTAGATGCTTTGACTTCAAACAGACCTGGATTCAAATATTGGCTCTGGCACTTACTAGCTGTGTGCCCTGGAAATTCACTTCACCTCTGGTACCTGTTTCCTCACCTATAAAATAATGCAAGTAATGGCTGCCACACAGATGGGTGTGAGGAATAAAGATATGTGAAGAGCTCAAGAAATGGTGGCTGGTGATAGCGGAGATTGTTGCATCAGTTCTGGGCTGGTGAGCAGCCTCTTTGTTGTTGACCCAGGGCCTGGAGCCTGGGACAGTCAACATGCCCCTCTGAGTTCCCTGGGTAATTCATTGTTCTTATGACTCTTTGGATTGGGTCTGGTAAACAATTCCAGAATTCCCTTTCTTCTGTTTGGAGACAGGAGTTGCTGGATAGGCAAGTTTCAGGGCAGAAGGCTCTGGAGTGGGTATCAGGCCTGAATTCCCTGTCTAGGCTCATGACTGCCATGTGGAGCTGTGTGGCTTTAGGCAATCTCTTCAATCTGTGGGCCTCAGAAACATGGATGCCTTGGCATGTTGGATGTCCTATAGCTCTGCAGAGCTAGGATCCCCTCCCAGAGAGCTCCCAGAGAGGGGAAGGTGGTACCAGGGAGGCAGTGGTTCCTAGAGCATCCTCCCAACTGCTGGAAGCCGTCTTGGCTGGTGGAGGACTGGGGAGGGAGGAGGAGACTGCCTATCCTAGCCTGGGGGCAGCTGATGATAATAATAAAAATAACAATGCTACTACTTCTTGAGGGCCCACTCTGGGGTGGCACTTCTTATGCTGTATCTCATTAAACTATCTCAATCAGGGTTTGGCGTAGCTACTGACATCACATCCCCCACCCACCCTGCCAATCCCTCCTTTTAAAGCTGAACACAATGGAGGGGCTGAGGAAACCAAGGTGGAGAAACTGGGTGTGGTCCCCAAATCACATTAGATATCCACAGCTCACCATGTTACATACACATCCAGTGGGGGGGCGGTGTGGATCCTGTTACAGGATGAGGACCAGGCACCTCCCAACAGTGGCACCCTCTCCTCAGCATCATGGTGGGGCCCTTGGTGCTGAGGACTGGTCTTTCTATCTTAGACCTGCTCCCAGGTACAGTCCTACCCCACACTTGCCCACCAGCACCTCCTGGAAGGGTTGTGTCCACCCCATCCACCCTTTCCTGCCCCAGGATGAGACCTTGAAGACAACCAATTTTATCTTTTATTCATCCATCGATTTATTCAATAAATATTGAGTGCTTTTTATGTGCCCATAGCCCCCTCCATAGGGCCCTCTCACCTACTTAGTGCCCAATACCCTCCTTCTCTGCTCTCTCTGACTTCTGTTAAAACCTGCTCTCAGGAAAAAAGTTGATAAATCCATTCACACTGATAGCTTACTGTGTTTTCACTCCCAAGAATATTAACAATTGAACAAGGAGCAATGGGAAGAAGCATAATGTTGGGATCCCAGCACAGAGCAGGAGTGTCCCTGAGATCCCACAACATAGACTACCCGTTCAACTGTCTACTCCCCAGCCTGGACTCACTCCCCAAGATGCCAGCATGGTGTCCTCTCTGCACCCACCTCCATCCACATGGACATCCAGCTCTCCCCAACCAGGGAGCAGGCTCATGCCAGGACCTCCCACCCATGTCTTGGCTCTCCCAAGCTCTGTCTTGGCTGTGCAGAGAGCCCCCTATGCCAGCACCAGCCATGCCCGTTCCCCAGGCACCACTTCACTCTTCCCATCATCTGGGGGCCAGGCTAATGGGCTGAGGAGGGAGGCAGAGGAAAGCAGAGGTGAGAACATATCCATTTCCTTTATTCCCCCATGGTCTGGCCCACACCCCCTGCCAGGAGCTGAGATCCAATGGTATATTCAGCCTGCAGCTGCCACTGGTCATGTGAGCCCATTGCTAGGTTACAGGGACCCAAAAATAAATCCTTCCCAACCAGATTAGAAACTGAGGGCCTTGGATGAACCAGGCTCAAAGAGTGGCAGGAACACCCACAGCGATGTGCAGGCCAGATCTGCTATGGGACCGGGGAGCCATCCCCATGCTGCCCACCTCCTACCCATGAGCTGGGGCTCAACACTGGACCCCAAAGAAAAATTCCAGAGAGCTCCTGGGTCCTTAATAACGCAATAAATAGGTAGGTCTACAGGTTGCTTGGCTCTTCCTCACTAGCAATCAGGGCAACACCTTTTGGCCTGTTCTTCCCATCCGACCTCCCCATCATCAGCCTGTCCCTCCATATGCCCCACCCCACCCCCAGTGCACCCGCTAAGCAGCATTAGCCATTTACCCTGTGGCCCGGGGGCAATCTGTACCATTGTCCTTTTCCAGCCTCAGGAAGGGAGATCTAGCAGTAGGCATAGTACTGGGCATATTCACATGAGTAGTCTCACACAGTCTTCTGAGTTAGTTTCAATAACTCCATTTACAGATGTGAAAACTGAGGCTCAGAGAGGTTAAGTGACTCTCTCAGAGCTACACAGTTGAGCAACTGGGATTCAAACCCCAAATCTACTCTCACTCGGCCCGGGGATGAGGCAAGGAAGAGGACAGGGAAGCACAGCAAAGGAAAGGGAAGCC